AGTCAGTTGAGGATAATCAGTCAAAAGTGGTCAGTTGTGAAAAGCATAGAGAAATGAGAATTTGCATTAGCTGAACAGTGATTTTCAAACTGAAGTGGGCATCTGAATTGCCTGCTTTGAGAAATCCTGAATGCAGTGAAGCCTGAGGGGTCTGGACAAAAGTTGTGAATGGTCTAAGGAAGGAGACAGTTCAGGAACAGACTTTGGAGGGTTTAGAGCCTTTCCTTGAGTGTCTTCTGAAAATTAACCCTCCCTGATTTTCACTCTAAAGCTATTGAGTCATTTAGATTAGAAAAGATAAATCTGTGAAGAGTGCATAATAAGACTGACTTTTTGTGGCACAGGAGTTTTATATTCTAAGATGTGTGAGTGTGTGTGTGTTGGGAAAGAGAGCCTGGTGCATAGCAAGCCACCCCCCCAGACTGGACTGGCTTCGGTCACACACACATAGTAGTCAGTGATTCAGTTCAACGTCTTTTGTTTTTAAATTCTTGCAGTGGCCCAAACACTAGGTTAGGAGCTGCGGATACAAGGTAAACAATACAGTCCTGACTTTAAAGGGCTTCTAGTATATTAGGAGATACAGAGAAATAGATGGGTGTGTTAGTTATCTATTGCTGTGTAACAAATCACCCCAAAACTTAGCATCTTAAATATAACATTCATCAACTCACAGTGTCTGGAGGTCGGGAATCTGAGTGTAGCTTAGCTGTATGCTTTTAAAATTAATGACCAAATAAACAGGACAAAAGGAAATTTGGAGATAGGGAGACTGTATAAGGAAATATGAACTACAAGAGATTTAATGCAGTACCATAAAAAGAAGCAGGATGCTATAAAAAAAGAACAGTCAGAGGATGAGACTACATTAGGAACAAGTGGGTTTTATGCCAGGAATTCAACTTCAGAGAATTGTTAGAAAACATATTGCAAACTCATTTTTTGCAGATGAATTTATTGTTTAGAAAATTTTAAAAGTTTCCTATTGGAATAAATAAGCGTTCAGCAAAGTTCAAATTAACATACAAAGTTAATAATGCTTCTGTATACCAGCAAAAATTAAGTAGAAAATATATTTTAAAATAGATCCTATTAAGTTAGTAATGGAAATTCTTTGCTATGGCAAAAAAACTTGCAAAAGACATGGAAGACTATTAAAGTAAAACATACACAGTTTATTGAAGGATGTAGAAGTGACCCAGATAAGCAGAGTTTCATCATGTTGTGGGGGAGGGGAAATTCAACATTATGAAGAAGTGGATTCTCTTAAAATTAAACTATAAATGCAAAAATATTTTGAGAGAGAGATGACAATAAATGTTAAAGTTCTTTTATTTTTAAATTTTTTATTTAAATTCAATATAGTTAACATATAGTGTATTATTAGTTTCAGGGATAGAATTTAGTGACTCATCAGTCGCATGTAACACCCAGTGCTCATTCCATCCTGTGCCCTCTTTAATGCCCTTCATCCAGGGTGACCCCTTCCTCCCACCCCATGACTGAGTAATATTCTGTTGTGTATATGTACCACCTCTTCTTTATCCATTCAACAAGTGTTAAAATTCTGAACCGGCTATCTAGTAAGAGAAAAGAAAAGACAGAGTGAGCCAAGTGTATTAGGAAGATAAATTATCAACAAGTTTTGACGTGTTGAAATGGAATAGATAGATCCAGTTTAGGGAGGTCATGGCTGGAAACCTAGATCTAGGATAAAGCTGAAAGGGTGGATCTGTTTATTAAAGGAAAGGTCAAAACTTGAAGTAAAAAGTGCCAAGGGACATAAATAAACTGAGGATTTTAGAAAAAAATAAGTCAGGGAAGAAAAGAGTGAATGGTAACACAATTCCTAGCTGTGGGTCTCAACACTGTCAAATGTTGCAGATAGGTTAAAAAAAAGTGAGAGAATGCTACTGAGGATGTTGATGTCAAGATGTCGGAAGCTGTTGGCAAGCTTTGAGAGCTTAGTTTCATTGGCATGGGTACAAGGGTAAGGAAAACTGTTGGATGGCCATCAGATGTAAAAATTGAGGTGTTGACTAAGTACTGCCTATGTGTTTGTTATGGGTTAAATTGTATGCCTCAAAAAGATACGTTGAAGTCCCAACCCCTGGTACCTGTGAATATGATTTTATTTGGGAAATAGGGTCTTTAATAGATATAATCTCATACTGGAGTACGGTGGGCCCTTAATCCAATATGACTGGTCTTCTTGTATAAGAAGAGGAGACAAAACAGACCCAGAGGACACCACCACATGATGATGGAGGCAGAGTAAAGACAAGGCATGTGAAGGATGATTGGCAAGCATTGGGAACCAGGAGAGAGCATGGCCCTGAGGATGACACCTTGATTTCAGACTTCCATCCCCTGGAACTGTGAGAGAATAAATTTCTGTGGTTTTAACGCACCCAGTTTGTGGTACCTTGTTACAGCGCCCCCGAGAAACTAATACTGTGGGGATTTGTGCAATGAATGTGAGATGATCTAGTAGATGAAGTTTATATGATTGAGTAGCTTAAGAAAGATGACAGCAGCCAGTGGAAAATATTTCCCCATATGTAATTATTAGGCATGTCTCAAAAAAGGAGGGAGGAGAGAAGATATATCAGAAGCCATAAAATAAAGAGGGAGCCAGATTTTAGAGTAGATTATAAGACTGGGTTGAGAGATGGGGCAGTGGGATTGAACTTAGCAAAAACTTTCCTCTGGGAAGTTCACATGAACTAGAGAGAGGGGAGGGAAGCCTCCACCCCGTGGTCTCTGAGATTTCAGTAAAATGGTAAATTTATGCACTGAAATAGAAGTGCAGAAGTAGGGCTGAGGACCCAGGGAGAGTCGGAGAACAAAGGAGTAGATTAAAAAATCTGTAAAGTGTGCTGAGGAGGGCTGGCTTGATGTGACATGGGCCCCAACAAATCGAGGTTTGGTGGAGTTCAGCATTGGGACCCAGAAGCAGTAATACCCAGGTATCAATGTGCAGAGGCTTGGAACAGAAAAAGTCCAGCCCCCATAATGCATGTGCAACAGAGGATCCTGTGTCACCTGTCCAAGTTGATGAGTGACAGCACTTTCTGCACCCTATTGGAGATTAAAACCCCTAAAATGACAGAAATAAATTACTTTTTAAATTTAGTTGCTAAGAAAGTGTGTGTGTGTTATAATATAATTTTTGTTGTTTCTTTCCACCCATATAAATCTCATCATTAATGCCTGGGATTGGAGCCAGGTTAAATATTTGGTGTTGTTTGGTTCTTGGACTTTTACTTCTAGTAGTGACTGGCAAAACAAGAGGAGAAATGTGACCAACAACAAAGGAGGGATACAATTAGGGTCAAAGACTATGTTCATACCCATTTTCTTAATGAAAATGGTAATCATTGAAATCATCTCAGGGTGCTTGCTTCACTGGTTTGTCTGTTCTCTTTCGTGAATGGTTATTAGCTCATGTATACATCTAGGAAATGTATTGATGAAATTAAAAAATCATGGAATGAGATTTTCAGGATTGATAAGCAGGGATTATTTACAGTTCTGAGAATGTCCCATTTATTTGCAGCTGAAGAAAAGAAGTAACACAATCATTAAAGTTCCACCATCTTGTCTAAACTATTAAACTATGAAAATGGGAATTAGATACTGTTTTGATTAGCATAATTTTCATAGCGGTCGTTGACAGCAAGGGGCTTGGGGTCCAAACAGTGTTCTGGACTCACATGTGGGCCCTTTATTGAACATCTGCAGATAACTTCTGCCTGTAAGCCTTACTTTTCAAATCTGTAACATGGTTGTGACTGTAGTACTGACTCCATAGGTTTGCTTTCAGTAGTAAACAAGGAAATTCATCATAAGCCCTTCTGCATACCTTGTAGCACACAGGATTCCGTCAGCACAAGGAGCCACCTAACGGAAGTGCAGTTAAGTTTTAGGTGAAGACTTCTCATGTGAATTACTGTGACTTCTGAGATCATTGAGCCTCAATTTCCCTCTCTGCTCAACTCCCTTTCTTTTTAATCTGTTCTTTTTTTGACTTGGCTAATTTTTTTTATTATGTTATGTTAATCACCATACATTACATCATTAGTTTTTGATGTAGCGTTCCGTGATTCATTGTTTGCATATAACCCCCAGGGCTCCATGCAGAACGTGCCCTCTTTAATACCCATCACCAGCCTAACCCATCCCCCTGCCCCCCTCCCCTCTAGAACCCTCAGTTTGTTTCTCAGGGTCCATAGTCTCTCATGGTTTGTCTCCCCCTCCAATTTCCCCCCTTCGTTTTTTCCTTCCTTCTGTCTTCTTTTTTTTAATATCTAATGTATTATTTATTTCAGAGGTACAGGTCTGTGATTCATCAGTCTTACACAATTCACAGCTGTCTAATTTTTAATCATTAAAAGCTAATAAAGACTTACCCAACACCGTGGGGTTTTTTTGTCCTTTTAGAATATGATCACTTTTTATGAATGCCAGAAAGACACCACAATAAATACCACGTGCCATGCTTAGCCAACTGTCCACAACTACACGGTCCCTGCAGAGTAATTGGACAAGAAAGGCATGGGGAAAAAAACTAAACAAACACAAACCAACTTAACAAAGAACATTTGGCAGGCTTTTTACACACAGGCCATGTCCTGTTTTCAGATGCCAAACTGAATAAAAACAGTTTTAAGAGAGGCAGACATTTGCAGAAGAGCCCTTGAAAGAATCTTAGCTGTTCTAGAAAAAAAACAGTGAATCAGAGGTTCTTCTAAGTTCCTCACTCATTTTCCTGAGAGTCAAATTTGTGTTTACTTTCCACTTTGCATAAGGTGAGTAAGGCATAAAGTATACAGATAGCCAATGCCAAACACATTGATTGATATTGTTAAAATTATTATATTGATCTGATATTTCTAAATTATTGTGGGTTTTATATTGTAGACCTAATGAGTGATTTAATTTTTTAAACTCAGTTATATAGTATTTTAGTGCAATAGTAAAATGTAAGAGAGCTTTTTCGCAACGGGTTTGCCGCCAGAACACAGGTGTCGTGAAAACCACCGCTCAACCTAAACCAAAATGGGAAAGGAAAAGACTCACATCAACATCGTCGTCATTGGACACGTAGATTCGGGCAAGTCTACCACTACTGGTCATCTGATCGACAAATGTGGTGGGATCGACAAAAGGACTATCGAAGAATTTGAGAAGGAGGCTGCTGAGATGGGAAAGGGCTCCTTCAAGTATGCCTGGGTCTTGGATAAACTGAAAGCTGAACGTGAACGTGGTATCACCATTGATATCTCCCTGCGGAAATTCGAGACCAGCAAGTATTACGTGACCATCATTGATGCCCCAGGACACAGAGACTTTATCAAAAACATGATTACAGGCACATTGCAGGCTGACTGTACTGTCCTGATTGTTGCTGCTGGTGTTGGTGAATTTGAAGCCGGTATCTCCAAGAATGGGCAGACCCGTGAGCATGCCCTTCTGGCTTACACACTGGGTGTAAAACAACTAATTGTTGGTGTTAACAAGATGGATTCCACTGAGCCACCCTACAGCCAGAAGAGATACGAGGAAATCGTTAAGGAAGTCAGCACCTACATTAAGAAAATTGGCTACAACCCCGACACAGTAGCATTTGTGCCAATTTCTGGTTGGAACGGTGACAACATGCTGGAGCCAAGTGCTAACATGCCTTGGTTCAAGGGATGGAAAGTAACCCATAAAGATGGGAATGCCAGTGGAACCACACTGCTTGAAGCTCTGGATTGCATCCTGCCACCAACTCGTCCAACCGACAAGCCCTTGCGTCTGCCTCTCCAGGACGTCTACAAAATTGGTGGTATTGGTACTGTCCCTGTGGGCCGAGTCGAGACTGGTGTTCTTAAACCTGGGATGGTGGTCACCTTTGCTCCAGCCAATGTTACAACTGAAGTAAAGTCTGTTGAAATGCACCATGAAGCTTTGAGTGAGGCTCTTCCTGGGGACAATGTGGGCTTCAATGTCAAGAACGTATCTGTCAAAGATGTTCGTCGTGGCAATGTGGCTGGTGACAGCAAAAATGACCCACCAATGGAAGCAGCTGGCTTCACGGCTCAGGTGATTATCCTGAACCATCCAGGCCAAATCAGTGCTGGATATGCACCTGTGCTGGATTGTCACACGGCTCACATTGCTTGCAAGTTTGCTGAGCTGAAGGAGAAAATAGATCGTCGATCTGGAAAAAAGCTGGAAGATGGTCCCAAGTTCTTGAAATCTGGTGATGCTGCCATTGTTGATATGGTTCCTGGCAAGCCTATGTGTGTTGAGAGCTTCTCTGACTAACCTCCTCTGGGCTGTTTTGCTGTTCGTGACACGAGACAGGCGGTTGCTGTGGGTGTCATCAAAGCAGTGGACAAGAAGGCAGCTGGAGCTGGCAAGGTCACCAAGTCTGCCCAGAAAGCTCAGAAGGCTAAATGAATATTATCCCCAATACCTGCCACCCCAGTCTTAATCAGTGGTGGAAGAACAGTCTCAGAACTGTTTGTGTCAATTGGCCATTTAAGTTTAATAGTAAAAGACTGGTTAATGATAACAATGCATCGTAAAACCTTCAGAAGGAAAGGAGAATGTTTTGTGGACCATGTTTTTTTTTGTGTGTGTGTGGCAGTTTTAAGTTATTAGTTTTTAAAATCAGTACTTTTTAATGGAAACAACTTGACCAAAAATCTGTCACAGAATTTTGAGACCCATTAAAACAAAAGTTTAATGAGAAAAAAAAAGAATGTTAAGAGAGACTCAGAAGTGTATACAGATATAATTAGTTTCTTTTGGTCAGCTTTATACATCTCTGGGTGGCCTTTTGAGAATTTGCAAGGTTTTAGTTCTTGGGAATGTGTAGGCACTAGGACAAGTTACTTTTCCCGTGGCTTCTTTTTTCTTTTAAAATGTCTTTGTGGGTAGCTTACTGAGCTCTTCAAACATACCTGTGTAGCCGTAAGGTGAAGATGAATGTTTTGACTTAGAAACTTTCTCAAGTTAGAATTTAGAGATTATTTTGATATTTGGTCACTTTACCTTTTCTTTTGTCAGAAAAAGAAAGTAGAGCAAGTTCTCTGAACATTGTAATTTGTATATGACATCGACATTTATTCAAATGAATTTGAGTAACCAGAGTTGTGATACCAAATCACCTCTGGAATTTCGAACTGAAAACAAGGATCCTGGTTACACATCATGGTGATCTGCAAATCAGTTACCTCAGTCATATCCACTAACATGTTTTTGGTTTTCATCTACATCTGTCTTACATTCTTAGTTCAAAAAAGGGGACCCATGGATTTAAGAGAAGAAATTAGCTCTTTGGGATTCTAAGAATGACTATGATGTTATTCAACTTTGCTTTACTCAAGTGGTTACCTAGATATTAAATAAGCATGCAAAAATGTGCCCTTCAAAGTATAGACTGCTCATGGGCAATTCTCTGACCAAAAAAACTGGATATGGTTTTATTCCTGTTATACTTTCCTTTTTTTTTAAGGACTTTATTTATTTGAGGGAGAAAGAAGCCGGAGGGGGGGCAGGCAGACCCCCTCTGAGCAAGAAGCCCGATGTTGTACTCGATCCCAGGACCCCAAGATGACCTGAGCCAAAGGCAGATGCTTACCTGACTGAGCCACCCAGGTGCCCCTATTATACTTCCTTTCTTAAAATAAGTAAAGGGCAAAGTGTTTTTGTTTTTTTTTTTTTTTAAGATTTTATTTATTTATTTGAGAGAGAGAGAGAATGAGAGAGAAAGCACATGAGATGGAGGGAGGGTCAGAGGGAGAAGCAGACTCCCTGCCGGGCAGGGAGCCCGATGCGGGACTCGATCCCGGGACTCCAGGATCATGACCTGAGCCGAAGGCAGTCGCTTAACCAACTGAGCCACCCAGGCGTCCCTAAGGGCAAAGTGTTTTTTGAATTTCAAACATTGCTAACGTCTTATTCCCTGATTTACTTTAGATTGTTGTAATGTCAAGATTTGGCAGAAAAAAGTTACTTTTGAGACGAGAGGAAAGATCTACACCAGCAGCTCATCATCCATAGCCGCGAGGGCCTGGAGAGAAATCCTCGCAGACAGGATAGTTTATATTCGTTAATACTGTATACCCTCACAAAAGCTCCCGCTGAGTGTGTCTCTGCAGTGTCAAATAAGGCGTCATGTTAGTGCATTTGAAGCTATGTTTTCAAAGTGTTTGGGAGCTTTTTTGTAACTGGACTTTTTTTGGTCTCTTTTTTTCCCCTAGCTGTACAATATTTATTTCACCTTCTCTCTCCATGAACAGGAGAAAATGATTAAAAAAGAGACAAGCGTGTATCAACAAACTCAGGTCCTTTGATACAAGAATTTTCTTAAACATGGAGAATGAAAAAAGCGAGCTTATTGGTATGGTTCATAGTATCTATTTCTCCATATTTAGTAAATGAAAATCTATCATTTAGTATTATGCTGTTTTTATTGCTTTTTTATATTCACAAATTCCATAGGTTAGTTGATTTGGAGTTCTAAATACAGTATTTTGCAAATATTGCAGAATAAGACATAATTGCAGAAAAGGATATTTCTGGCAAATTGATGAAATTAACTAAAGAACTCATATGGCAGCTCCTGAAAAACTAATATTTTATTAAATAGAACTAGCCATTCTCCAAATAATTACTCCATTTGGATCTTGTGGAGTCATTCTGATTTACTTTAAGCCAACTTCAGTGTTAGGAAAAAAAATAGATTGTAAATGAGTAAATGATTGCACTTTACTGGGGACATTTTGATTAAGATTCTATTAATTGGGAGGGCTGGGGAAAAAAATTCTATGAAGAATTAGGGAAATTTTTTGAGGATCTCTTTTCAAGACTATGCTTTTTTGTAAACATAGAGTGGCTGGCTGTAGGGAGCCAGATTTCTGATTGTCAGTATCTTTGCATTCTGTTGAGTTCCTAGCATAAGGGAATGGACATTAGGTCCAAGAGATTGGCTCTATTTCCTTGAAATATGTCTGGGGCTGTCTTGGCCACATCGAGGCTGTATTCTGTTTAAAAATAGCAAATAACATTTCCATGGGAGCTAGCAGCGTTCACATACTCTTTTCATTCTCTGCAATAGCTCTTGAAGCATTCAGTTTGAATATTTTAGCTCTTACGTTGACGGAGGGTACATTTATAATCATCACCCACTAGAATTTTAAAAGAACTTGTCAAAAATGTTTTAAATCTCAAAATGTAGAAATACTGGTCCAATAAAGCCACATCCTATCCTATTCACTCACAACCCAAATTTGACAAGTGTTAACTTCTTGCCATCTTTGCTTCATCTCTCTGTCTCTCCTCTTTCAAGATATAGGACACTTTACTGTCCTACTTGAGCTAGAATCTGCAAAAATTAAACACTATGCAACCACTAATATACTTCACAAAATTAGCAAAAATTGCATATAATCATCTCATTTCAAGTTCAATTTCCTAAACTTCCTGAAAATTTCTTTTTAAAAAAAAAGATTATTTGAGAGAGAGAGAATGAGAGTGAGCCCAAGTGGGAGGGAAAGGGAGAGGGGGAGGGAATCTCCAGCAGATTGTCCAGAGCGTAGAGCCCACACATGGCTCCATCTCACAACCCTGGGATCACAACCTGAGCCGAAACCAAGAGTCGGGACGCTTTACCAGCTGCACCACCCCGGTGCCCCTGAAAAATACTTTCAAAGTTGGTTTTGATAAGCCTGGAACCAATGAGACCATCTCATATCTTGTTGAATATTCATGTTTTGTATTCATCTGATTCCTTCTTCATGCTGTCATTTAACTCATTCCTTTCTTTGCCTTCTTACATTTAAGCAGAAAATTAGATTGAAAGACACGATTAACTTCAGGTTGAACATTTTTGGCAGGAATATCTCATATGTGATGCTAGTTCAGCCCAAATATTCATGTTTTGCCCTTGACACTGTTTGTATACTGCTAGAGAAAAATCAGTGACGTTAGCATTGTCCTCATAAAAATGTCACAGCCTTATTCCATGTTTGGAAGGATGAACATTTTTGAAAGATATGGCTACACTGTGAAAATAAATACCTTTTCCTTCTCCATGTAGACATTGTCCTGAGTAAGATTTAAATGCTGTGTTAAAATTAATAAAAATCTTAGAACATAATACATGAAATTATTAAAAAGTCTTTAAAAAGGAGGCCATATATTGGACTTCAGAGATTTCTGAAGTTTCCATTAGTAATGGATCAATTAACCACTTATTGGGTGGATTACTTCTGCAGATTATGAACTCATCCATTATGAATTTTTTGAGCTCAATTCTAAGGAGTGTTCTTGACTCCAAAGAACCTGTAGGTGAACTGTAACTTCACTTGTGATTTTTGTACTCTGATTTTTTGCATACAGTTTATTTCTACTGGCATAGTATTTCCATGTGACAGAAATTAGTACTCTTGGCAGGAAAAAAAAAAACACCAAATTCTTAAGTATTTCCATTGACTATTTTGAATATTTTTCTTTTTAATTTTTTAATTACTTTAATCACCAAGGTAATAGCCACCCTAAAAAAAAAGCTAAGCAATAAAAACTGAAGAAAAAAGAAAAGAGAGAGCTTTTGCTTTTATCCTAGCCACACCTTCCTCCCTACCATACCTCCCATTTAAATTTGTGTGTATCTTTTTAGGATAATATGTATACCTGGTCACATATATAGACATATATTTTCATATATGTATATAGGCACACAGATTCAGTTTCTTTACTAAAATGCAATCACAGCAAAAAATTGCTGCAAATGGGTTTTTTTTAAAGATTGATTATAGAGAGAGCGGGAGAGGGGCAGAGGGAGAGGGAGAGACAGAATCTCAAGCAGTCTTCCCATGGATCACGGGGCCCGATGAGGGGCTCGAGCTCACGTCCCTGAGATCATGACCTGAGCCGAGACCAAGAGTCCTATGCTCAACTGACTGAGCCACCCAGGCGCCTGTGCAAATGGTTTTTAAAAGATATGTCATTTACATCTTTTCACATATTTACATTGAGCCTAAGACAATAGGATAGACTTCCAGTACCTAATTTAGAGACACCTACTTAGGGATAGTGTGTGACACCAATAAACCTAAATAATTGCAACTTGATTTTATGTTCTCTAGTGATGAGTTGATATGATTATTGATTTTTTTCATACGTGGCAGGAAGAACAATCAGGATTGCTGATAAAGAAATGATGGATATGGTACTTTCAGAAAACCATCATGAAATGGTGGGAATTGTGTTTAATGATACTTTTTCATGTATCAGCTGAAGTTTAGTTGGGGATATGAAATCCCAAATATGGAAGAAGACTCTGAACATGCAGGTAACTATATAAGAATTGATTCAATTTTTTTTGCTACTTCATCAAATCCCCAGTTGGGAATGACTGATAGAAACATTAAGAAAATCAAGAAACGAAGTAATATACTTTTTATTCCTCAACTTAGTGATCAGTCTTTACTACAGAATTATTTTGGCCAACATTCAATAATATGCTTCTTTCTTCCAGTTTTGCAGAATGCTTTAAAAATGCTCTAGATTATATAATCATGGGCTCTGAACAGGCATGTAGATCCACTTTAGAGCCAAAGTTAAGGTTTTAATTCCATTGATTGATTCCATTGTATAATGACGGGCATGTTTTTCTCCTCCCTTAAAGAACACTGTTGGGATTCTGCTGATAAAATTTTTTGTTACATGACAAGATACTGGCAAAATGGGTTTG